GAATTGTTGCCGGTCACCGGAGTAGTCGTCGGAGCAGAGGTGGCAGTGGGATGGGTTAATTATATTATATTACAGTTTAATATTTAATTTAATATAATAATTGTGAAATATAATTAATTAATTTATGAAAAACCTGATTTTTGCAATTCTAAACTTTAGGATTTGATTTTTTATTTTGAGATAGATAAAGCCTGAGTTGTAAATTTTTCCCAAATTTTTATGCTCAAATCCGAACGGATTACCCAAATCTGTTAGTTCAATTCCCTAATGACCCACTTGCTCATAGAATTTACAAAAAAAAAAAAAGGAGGTTGACCCGCCCTGCCTTAAGTGGGGATGGGGTACCTGTCGTGTCCGTTGCCATCCCTAAACAAACTCGAGGATAATTTTCTCTAACGTGTATTGTTAGTCTTTTCTAAAGAAGTAATCTCTAAAAACACGACACATTATGAACATATATCTCTATGGTTTAACAACATCCAATCAAAAGTTTTGCTCGGGTTGAAGGAAATTGAGGTGTTGCACCTCGATCATCTCCCCACGAGCCTCTGGATCAAACTGGCATCTGAAGTAGCTGTTTACAAATTAAACAAACATCAATTCAACTTGAAGACTAATTTCAAACCCAGAAGTCAAAAAATTTATCAATTTGGATGGAAGAAATGATGGAACACAAACTAATCAAACATGTTTCAAGAAGCGAGTTTGTGGGCCACTCAATTCTCTTGTCTAGGAACCATAGTCCCCCTCCGTTAATAGAGCTACAATGTCACAAAAATATGTATATACCTTCCATCCACGCCAATAATGATCACCGTGTTCTTTTGCTGCTGGCCAAAAGTAACAATATTTCGAATACCTTCTTGAGGCAGTCGAAACCGAGTCACAGACCATTGAGATTTTAAATACTTGGGAATACCTACATTTTAATAATTTTGAACTTTATTTAGTTCCTAGGTTACAGAAATGAAAACGGAAAATAAATGCGACAGGCGCATCAAAATGTAAATATGAAAAAACAAAAAAATTGCACGAAATATTTAGAGGGTGTTTAGTGTAGATTAAAATCAGATTTTAAGTTGATTGTGATAGAAGTTTTTGAAATGTGTGGTTAAAAAGATGTGGGATCCATGAAAGATGTGGTTGACATCGATTGTTTGACTTTGACTTAAATTAAAATCAGATTAAAATATGGCCCAAACAAGTCCTTAGTATTTCTAGTATGTCTCCAATTATGTTACCTTTTAGTGGAAGCATGCATTTAAGTTAATTCTTAATTGAAGCCCCCAACAAAATAGTGGAGTTAAGCTAACAAATCACTCATAAAATGTACCTGTAATTTGGGAGAGAAATGAAGCAGGAGTTGGAGAAAAAATGTTTGGTCCTGCTGCTGCTGCTGCTGATGCTGATGCTGATGCTGCCCGTGAATCGACATTTAGTTTGAAAACATGGACAGTAGCCTTATCACTTGAAACAGCTAGCCATTGAGCATCCAAAGAGAAGGAAATGCTGTAAATCTCTGCTCTTCCAGAACCCCTTCGCAACTAAATTCATGAACAAATCAACTTAATAAAGATATAATAGCCGCGTTTGGACGCTGAACTTGTGAGTCGTGTGCCCGATTTTGGTTACCGAACTTCCAATTTCTTAACTCATTACCCACTCTACTCAACTCCGTCTTTTAAACTAATGAAACTTGCACGTGATGGTTGAAAATCCCATATGAAATAATTTCAGATATTAAGTTGGAATTAGCGGTGGCAAAAAAGCTCGGGGGCTAGGTAGAACCGAGTCCAGGCTGGGGCCGAGCCCCATTTTGGGGAGTCGGCGACCTCCTATTTATTAAAAGAAAAAAAACAGGCAGCTAAAAAAAAAAACCAAAAAATCCGAGCTAGCTCGGCCCGGGCTCGACTCGGCCCTCTAAGGCTCGGGCCTAGCCTCATTTTTTTTGGTCGGGCTCGGCTCGGGCCCAAAAAAGCTCGGGCTCGGCTTGAGCTTTTTTCTTTTTGTTGCTCGACTTGACTCGTTGACATAGTTAATTAGAATATGACTTGAAAAGCCGGTAAAAGTTTTGAATTCCATAAAATATGGTTAAATTCAATTGTTGAGTCTGACTCCAACCTTTCAAAATTTTCCAAAGAAGCACTAAGTTATACACAAAACATACCTCATGAAGTAACGATTCGTCCCAGGTATTAAACACCCTCACCAGCGTCCCCTTAGTACTCGCTGTCGCCAAAAACCTCCCGTCGTGTGTTAGTGCAATACACTCAATCTGCGAATCATGTGCGGTTATCGTATTGGTCCGTTTGAAGGTGCAATGTTCCACCCGAACTTCTCCCTGGTGGAGTCCCAAGCAGGCCAAAACCTTCTCTGACTCCCGCGATACCTCGCACAACCCCTTCGGGTTCGACATAGTATCTATCTGATGCAACAATTCTAAGTCCTCGAAATTGTACACATATATTTTGTTTAACAAGATCACAACAATCTGGTCCTTCCAAAGGCGAACCGACTTGACTTTTGATCGAAAACAGAACTCAGCAATGCACTGAGATCGATAATCGTCCCAAATGAAAACTTTGTTAAATGTGAATTGCGGAGTAGGCCCACAACCAACTATGGCCGTGATCTTACCTTTGAACAACATTTGAATAGCCCCAATACCACCGCCGACGATGATGCTGGAGGTGGGAAGACTCGTGAACTTGCGGTGGACGACTTCGCAAAAAGGGTCGGAGTTGAAGATGATGAAACCGTTAGTGGTGCCCACTACGAAGCAGTCACGGCGTTGGGTGAAAGAGAGATGGAGGACAGTAGGTGGTAAGGTGGGATTAGGGTTTCTGGAGTTTAGGATGGTGGTAATGGCACTTCAACAACCCCACCTGCTGTACATGGATCAATTTTTGCTTTAGATTATGATTTTTGTGCAATCCGTACGAAGAGAATATGAAGGTTATGGGTTTTATATACATAGGAGGAATACTAGTTTGTAATACAAGTAATACTAGGACAGGGATAAAGTTTCCATTTGCAGCTGGGACTGTGAATAAGATTGATATTTATTTTTTTTTATATTTAAAACAAATTTGATCCAAATTATAACAAAAGATAAATATAAACTTCGTTTTTTTGAATAAATGGGTTTACTTTTTATTTTCTAAGCTTAATAAAAAGCAATACTGCAACTGATTGGAAAAAAATAATAATAATAAGAAAAAAGAAAGAAAGAAAAATTGTTGTTATATTTTATTTACTTTTTTAAAATTATAACTTATAATATTTCACTATTTGATTCTCATTATTTCGAAACTCATTTTAATTACATATTATCACAATAAAATAATTTGCACGTAAACCATTTTTTTTAATTTTTTAACTACACATTCTCCAAAAATTCATTATTACAAAACTCATTTTGATAAAATAATGAACATCAAACAAGGGCTACCATGTGTTATTACTGTAACAATGTAAGTAAATTCTTCAAAACTCAACTCAAAATTGTTACCCTACCATCTCGACATTGCAACCATCATCTCACGGTCTCACCATACCTCCACCACATCAGCACTAACAATCATCCCAACGATACAAGAAAATTACATACACCATTATTGGTGTATTTGTTATTGTCATCAATAAAATGTACATAATCTCTTTGAAATTGTAACAAATTGTTACTCCACCACCTCACCTCCTTGCCACCACCTTAGCATCGCCACCATCACAACCACCATATTACCGCTCGCAGCCACCCCATTAACACAAGAAAATTAAATGCTCTGTTACGATTTATAATTTTTTAATAATATAATTTAGAGTGCTAGGGCAACCCCACCCCCTCCCCTCCTCCAATAGGGCGGCACCATTGATTTGACCCGGGATTTAATCCCTGGACAATTTTTTTGAATAAATTATGGGTTTACTTTTTATTTTCTAAGCTTAATAAAAAGCAATACTGCAACTAATTGAAAAAAATAATAATAAGAAAAAGGAAAGAAAGAAAAATTGTAACTCGGATAATTTTTGAAAGCCCTTCTCTGTATTTCTTAGAAGCTTCCACCCAGTAATTTGAGATTTAAAATTTTGCATTTATTCGTAATTTACCTTTTTGATATTAAATATTAATACATTTGTTTAATACGTGAAATAAAGAAGTTTACGTTAATGTTCATATATAATTTTTCGGTAGGGACGACAAGGGAGCGGGTAGGGACGGGTCAGTCATTCCCATCACTCGTCCTATAAAGTATTTTTGTTATCTTGTCCTACTTCCATACCCGATTAAATTAGGAAGAGACGGATTGATTGTCCCATTTATTTATTTATTATTATTTTATATTTCTTATATCTTTAGTAAGTGGATATTATTATTATTATTATTATTATTATTATTATTATTATTATTATTATTATTATTTATTTATTTATTTATTTATTTTCAATTTATTAAGAACAATTCACGTTCTCTTAAAAGTGATGATACTATTTTTCCTTTCTGTTTGATAAAAAACTTAAATTTGAAATTAATTTCAAATGGAGAGGGTAGTGGGGACGAAGATCATGTTTGCCGTACCCATCTCGTACCCGCTCGGGGCAACGATTCCCACCCCATTTATCGTATTAAACGAGTTATGTAGGTATTGAATTGATCATATATTTTTTATTTTTTTATTTTTGCTATCCCTATTTTCTGAGTTAATGACACAATCATAGAACAGTTTGGGTTTAATTTTAAAAATCAGGTGAATAAAAAGTATTTCAAAAATCAAGTGCGACTCGAGTAAGTTATTTTATTACATATATAATTTTTTGACGTGTGATTTACAATAAATTTGGAGAAATCCTACATTTAGCCTCTGATTGATATAGATTAAAATCAATTTTTTAGTAGATTTAGATCAAAATTGAGGAAATGTGTGGTAGAAAAGATATGGATTTCATGAAATATGTGGTTAACTTTAATTGTTGATTTTAACTTAATATCAAAATTAGAACCTGTTCCGCGTGGAAATCGAGCATCGCTAACAATTAAAAGAAGGTTCAGACGATTGTGTAGGAAACAACAACCTCTCGAAACAAAGTCCCAACGAGGGGTGTTTTATTTATGAAAATTACAATTTGGACGAAGCAAAATGCCTTTAATGGACACAAGCACACTTAATTCGCAAAGTAATTGAAAGTTAACAAAAAGAAAAGAAATAAAATTACATAATGCTCTGTTTGAGAGTCGTTTGATTCATGCCTCTTCCAAAATTTTCTTTATCTTTTGTACTCATTTGACAGTGTCTCTTGTAGAACCGTTTGAAAACTGCTCATCGTTATGTAACTACCAATTTTCTCCATAATGGATGACTTGTCAAGAAACTACCGTTTTCAACCGCCGCCATTACTTCTATTGCTTAACTTCTTACAACCGAAATTCTTTGATCGTGGAATATGATAAAATTACTCATTAATTGCTTCAATAACCGTTGCTTCGAATAGCAATCAAGACACTATATTGGCCCAGATCTTGGGCGTTCACAGACTTGAGCGATGATGGGCTTCCATTACATAATTCTGTCTTGAGTTTTTATATGGTCTCGTTTAGGCCCATCCTTCGAATCTCCTAACTGAGCTTCATTCTTTGGATCATTTAATTGTACCTCATTTTTGTATGTCAATAATTACCCACCAATATAGCAAAATTAATATCAATTACTAATCTTATGCTATATTCATCCTTTATATTTTCCCGCGATGCTTGAAATTCCAAAAAAGGGCGGAGAATCAAAATCATTATTTTCGTTTGGCGATACCCTTTACGTCCTGAAAAATGTAATATCACACAACTCCTATAAACCAGATAACACGCCACTTCATTATAAACAAGTAATCTCTATGGTTTAACAACATCCAATCAAAAGTTTTGCTCGGACAGGGATAAAGTTTGTAATACAAGTAATATTAGGACAGGGATAAAGTTTCCATTAGCAGGAGGGACTGTGAATAAGTTTGATATTTTTATTTTTTATATTTAAACAAATTTGATCCAAATTATAACAAAAGATAAATATAAACTTTGTTTTTTTTGAATAAATTATGGGTTTACTTTTTATTTTCTAAGCTTAATAAAAAGCAATACTGCAACTAATTGAGCAAAATATATAT